CAACCCAGTTAAAACTAACCTCAAAACTAAATGTGCCACTATAAAATAACAGACTTTGGTAAAAGAAAGCACTGTGACATAAACCAAATTTGTGATTCACATGAATTCAAATACAGCTAGCTTGTCCACTAAAATGAGCAGAACAGGTAAATCGAGAGACCAAAAATTAATAGATATGACAGGTAGATGGATGGATGTGAAGGCAAACAGAGTGACTATGGCAGTTACTGAAATGCTAATAAATTCACACACTTTCTGCATTAAATATCCTAGTGCATTACAGCAGCAATAGCAAATACTATTGAATACTCTGCCCCCTTGCCTTCTCTAATATTTGCCATGAAGGTCTACAAACACACTGTTGCAGAATGTTTATAAAACAAAGGAAAACATTTCTAAACAGGACCGTTTGCTACTAGAAAGTATTAAAAACGATAGTTGGTCAAAGTAAACAATAGAGTATTACTGTCATTCACATCAAGCCAAGCCAGGCAGGGGCAACCGCTTGATTTGGGGGTTTTTTTAACAGGTCAAAAGAGTTTAAAAGATCATATTAAACCCAAATCTAATGCACATTGAACTCTCTCCTACGATATGCAACGGGAGTATTCTTTCCTCATAAATCTGCATGCTAATCCAGATCATTTATTAAAGATGTGTATTTCATATCTGTGGAGTATATCACGTAACTTCTTGGCAAAGGCAATAGCATTTTTTTCACTAACTGATAAAATTCCTTGTGTAAGTTTAAACAGCCCTTTCAAGCAAACAAAGCAGCATGGGGAATCACAGATCCATTGCTGCAAAGTGCACTGAGCTTCGTCAGTGAACTCATTTCCAACAAGCCTTTCTACAGTACAAACCCTTTCCAAATCACAGATTGCTTTCAATGATATTTAAGTGTTTGAAATACCTCACAAGAGGTCTGACAAACTCGGTCTCAGTAAACAAACCTAGTCCCCTGGTAAAGCCTCTAAAAGAATTTAGCAGTATTTAAAATAAAAGCACGCAGCAGAGCATACTAGGAAGAGAAAGAAAACAAAAGCTCCTAGCCACATCTGGACCAAATTTGACCTTCGTTAATGTATTTGGTAGTAATTTACAGATGTTACATACTGCTTCATCAAGAGTTTTGGCCTGCTAGCTCATTCAAATGATAGGTTCGGCTTTACGATGAAGTATTAACAAAAACTCAAAGACAAAAACTAATCGCGCTGCACTGCATGTGCCCATCAGCTTGGACGGACAAGCCCAACGGCCACCGAGCAATTGAATATATTCTCATTTTTTCCAGTCAACACCTGCATGGTTCTAGGTTACATATTGATGACTTCACCTGACATCTGTGGTATGGGACCTTCAAAATTTCAATTAAATACTAAAACCAAAACCTCACCAGCACTTAATTACTGGGTTTCTAGAGAATACTAATCAACATTTCACTGAAGGGGAAATTGTTCTGGTTCAGTCAAACCAGGCAAAGCAAAACCCAATTAAACTGGCCCATGGTTTTTAAGTGAATCTGATCTGGTTATTCTTTGTTAACTAGAGCTGCGGGGTTGGAAGTCAACACGACCTCTCTAGACTCAGTATTATTATATCTTGCTCCCAGCTCTCGCTGCATGGCAGAGGAAAACATGAAATTCTAGAAAGCATTTTGGGGGAAAAAAACAAACTATCAGCCACACCACATAAAAATACATTTTAGTACAAGAAATGATGTATCAGAGAGAACTCTTTACTGAAAAATCACATTTCAGCAAAGATCAACATGCAGCCAGCATTAACAATGTTTAAATTCAGAAACCAAGTGCGAACACAGCACAGAACTGGCTGAAGGCGACCCCCAAATGATGGGGGTGTGTACGTGCTCCACGGGCACCGAGGGCTCAGGTGTCTGACATAACTTCACCTGCTCCCAGCTACCTTTACAACGCACAGCTCACCCCGATTGCTAGACACTAGCGAATCATTTTAATGCCATTATGAAAGAAAATAAATGAGCTGTAAAGAATCTGACCAGCCACTGAAACAACTCAAACAAGTTGTTTACCACAGTATGGTAATCTGGGCATTAACGGCGTATTTGCAAAGTTCTGGGTTCTGCTGCGTTTTGGGGAGCCCGTCCCTTCCGAAGCCGCTGCTCCACGGCCAGTGGCGAAGTGGGAGCCCCTGGTCCCCAGCACGGGCTGGGACAGCGGGCAGGCAGCCGCCGCACCCCGCCGAGGGGGACCCTGACCCCCACCACCCGCCACCCCCTCCTCTGCCCTGCCCGGAGCCCGCGGAGCCGCCGGCGCAGACCGCGGCCGTGCCACAATAGGAATAAATCACCCAGCCCTTTCCCTCCCGCCACGGCAGGTGTAATTAAGAAGCCCACCAGCAATGCCTGCGTGTGGGTGAGGGAACTCGGGTCTAACGACTAATCTCGCGCTCCATAATACTGCACAGTACTAGGAAATGGTGAACACTCCCCCAGCGCAGCGTTCAGCACATTTAGGAACTGCTCGAAATTCGGAGGAGCGCTGTCTGAAGCCTGCGTGTTCACCCTGCACGCGTACACCGGGGAACTGCTGGAACAAATACCACAGATGGAAATCCCAGTCGACTAAAACGGTTTAAAATCTCCGTCACTGGATAAATAAAACCTTTTCTTAAACACAGTTTCAAACACTCAGGGGTATGGCAATGTAAAGTTAAATTATTTCTACTAACCGAGGAGAACAGCCTGTTTTGTCTCACCTATTGTATCTTTATCACTTCCAACAACAGTTAAAGTAAATTCTCCGCTGGTCTATATGAATTTCCTCATGCGATGAACCAGCCCATTCAAACCCTTCAACTGACTAAAGTGTGAAACAAAATGAGTGCCTCTATGCATTGTTGTAAAACTGGTTTGCTATTTTATGTTAAGCCTCTGAAATACTGAAACATTTCCTTATATAGGAACACTGATTAAATGGTTTTCCTTCCAAGTGATGAACTGTTTTAACAGCAACATTGTGGTTATCGCGACCAGAAAGCAATTACTTATTTCACTAGATGTTACTAAGAATAGTGGTGATCAAAGTCAACGTAGGAGTGCTGTTAAAGACGTTAAAGAAAGCATCGCTCCATATGACACACATACACAAAATATACATAATTTTAAGCCAAAATGCACTTTTAATAAATGTACTGTTCAGGATTAAATCACCCCTCAGGATTTTTTTTTTTTAGTCCCTGAAATTAAGATCTATGGAGTAAGTTACTCTTTTAAAACCTATTTCTAAATACAGCACGGTGTGTAGATCTGTGTATCTATATGCGTGTGTGTGTGTGAGATAGTGCACGCATAACAGGGGGGGTGCATGTGTGTGTGTGTGTGTTGTGAGAGAACGTATATATGTGTTCGAGTCTGCCAAGGTAGAAGTGACAGGAACTGTGATTTGTGCTAACTAGCTATTGATCCAGTCAGATCTAGATGTTGTGTACAAGAAACAATAAAAGAGAAGGGGCCAGGAAGGATGCTGTGTGCAACTCCATTTAAAAATGGAAAAGAAGGGCCCCAAACAAACCAATTTATGTCCTTGTCTGGGTGAAGCATGGAGAATGCTGATGGGCTTCATAGAGTCTGCTGTGCATGCTAAACACTACCGCTTGAAATGAGAGTCTCCTGCGCTGGGCATTAAACATGAACAAAGAGACAAACCGTGGGGGCTAGGATTCACGCTTCAGAAAGCCAAAGCTGGAAAGCCAACCAGAACCAGGGGTAGGAAATTGCCCAGTTTTCAAACCAGCTCCCTTTTGATTTTCCCAACACCTTTCTTCGTGAATTTACTAAATGCAGAGGACTGTAAAAAGTCAGTCTGTACCACCAGATGTAACAAAAACAATTTCAAAGTAGCTAGCAGTACCAAAACATCAACTTTCCTCGGCACAAATAATGAGTTTATATTGCGAAAAATACACACGTGTACTTATAGCTCATCAAAAAAATTGCCCGCGTGCATTCATACAGCAGGTACGTGCACGTGCATCTATTGTAATATTCACACACAGGGTCGGGCAGCTTGGAAAATATGCCTTTGATAAGATAAAATAGAAACCAATTGAATCTATAATCATCTTTATCTTAAGCAGCTTTTATAATAGAGGGCTTTCCATTAAAATATTTTTTCCCGAGCTTGGGGAATTATGATGCCCTCTGGACATGGGGAAGGATCAAAAATGACAACTAATGTAGAAATTAAACATCTGTCAACTAAACGAGTTTTATACCCGCAGACCCAGAGCCTTATTTTAAATTGCCTTTCTATTAAAGGAAAAAAAAAAAAAACAAAACCAAAAAACGTTAAGAGCCTTTTGGTTCAGTATTGTACTGCTGGTAGGGAAATACCTGGAATCAGAGGGACAGCACCACTAACGTGTTTTCGAGGTTTAGAAAAATCCCTGTAACAGTTTGGGAGAAATGGCTGGACGATCGGCTGGCTCCGGGGCTCTGCAGGAGCCCCCTCCGTGGCACCCCACGCCCTGTGGGGCTCTGTGGGAGCCCCCTCCCCGACATCCCACGCCCGGCAGCCCAGGAGGGCTCTGCGAGGACCCCCCCTCCCCGGCACCCCAGGCTGCAGCCCCCCCTCCTCAGCACGCCACGGCCAGGAGAACGGCTGGGGCTCCGCCGGGAGCCCCTCTGCTCAGCACCCCCCCCGGAGACCCCCACGCCAGCCCTGGCTGCTGCAGCCCTCGGGGGCCGCTCCCCGGGCAGCACGATGGGGATGGGGCTGGTGTCGGGGATTGCCGCGGGGCCAGCCCTCAGCCGGCGCTTCATCCCCACCGCCAGCCGCCCCGGCAGAGCCGCCCGGCATCCCGCAGCCCCAGCCCAGGGCGGGAAGGCACCCAGCACCCACTGAGGTCAGCACCAGAGGCGGAGCGGGTCCAGGGCCAGCGGGTGCCCGGTGTCCCCGTCCCCCAGCAGCCCACCACCCCCCCTCCGTGGGCCAGCACCCGCGCGGGACGACCGATACCTTCTTTGCTGGGGTTCGGGGGCTTGGGCTTCTCCCAGGGCGCCATGGGCTTGTCCTCCTCCTGCCCCTCCATCAGGGCCTTCTCGCCGGGCAGGTACCAGGTGGAGTTGTGCTCCGCCATCAGGGAGTCCAGGTCGATGGTGCTCATGGCGCCCTTGACACCCTCCGAGCAGCAGCTGCCCAGGTCACTGTCCCCGTTCTGCCCCGCGCACTCCCCCTTCTTGCTCTTCAGCCCCAAGGGCTGGTCTTCCGAGATGCTGAACTGCTGCCGCTGGAGCTGGATCTGCGCCTGCAGGATCTCCAGGGGGTGGATCTCGTCCTGGGCCGAGGTGCTCGTGGGGGTCCGCACCTGCTCCATGCTCGGCGTGCCGGGGTGGGCGCCCGCCGTGGTGCTGAGCCCGTAGCTGTCGGGGGTCGAGGTAGACGTACTGAGGAGGCCGAGGGCCAGGGGCTTCTGTCCGTTGAGAAGTGCGTGCTCCCCGCGGGGCAGCTTGGGCGAGCCACCCAGCAGCGGGCTGCGGGTGGGCTTGGAGGCGGCGTTGTCAGAGCTGGAGGACACCTCATCCTCGTTGCCGTAGCTGGTGCTGACCTCGTCGGGAAAGTCCACGTGCGGGGAGCTGCCGTCCGACTTGGTCACGCTCTGGATGCCGCTGTCCAGGGAGGACATCAGGTCAGGCTGCTCCCCCAGCAGCAGCTCACCGCCCTTGCCCCAGGAGGGCGAGGTCAGGGGCTTGTCGTGGGGGGTGCCCCCGCCACGCTCCGCGCCCGCAGCCCCCGGCGGGCCCCCCGCCGCCGCCGGCACCGCCGGCTGCCCCGGGCTGACGCCGGCCCCGCCGCCCTCCGCGGCCGAGAACTTCTCGAAGAAGGTGCCGGGGCTGACGTGCCCGCTGTCCCGTTTCCGGCGGCCCCGCCCCCGCCCGCCGCCCGCCTTCCCCTCGCCGCCCGCCGCCGGCTCCAGCGCGTAACCGGGCGAGAGGCTGCTCTCGGCAGGCAGCAGCGGGGCAGCGCCCACCGCCTTGCCCGCGCCGCCCGCGCCCGCCGCCGGCCCCGCCGGGAAGTAGTCCGGGGCGGCGGGCGGCGGCGGGTCGGGCTCGGCCTGGCTGAGCTTGCGCTTGGCCTCGGCCGGGCTCTTCTTGTTGAAGGTGACGTTGAGGTTGGGGGCGCCCAGGCTGGCGATCATGTTCTGGCAGGCGGTAGAGAGGGCGGCCAGGCAGCTCTGCCCGAAGACGTTGTCCTTGCTGGCCGGCTTGCTGAAGGAGCCCAGCGAGAGGGCGCCCAGCTTGCTGGCGGCGGGCCGCGGCGGGGGCGGCGGGGGGAACTCGGGCGGGGGCGGCGGGTAAGCCCCCGGCGAGGCGCTGAGGGCGGGCGCGGCCCCGTGGGCCGCCGGCTGCCGCGCCGCCGCCGCGAAGGGGAAGCCCGGCTGGGCGGCGAAGTCGGCGGGGCCGCGGCGCTCGGCGGGAGCGCTGGGCAGCGCCACGCCGCCGCCCGGCGACTGCAGCTGCGAGAGGCCGCCCATGGCGGGCGCGAAGGGCGGGTGGACGCCGGGCGAGGGCAAGGCCTGCGCCGGCCCCTCGCCCGCCATCCGCAGCGGCTCCTGCAGCCCCAGCCCGCCGGCGCCCGGCCGGAAGAGCACGGCGGCACCGCCCGGCTGCAGGCCCAGCTCGTGAGGGGCGGCCTCGGCCGGCAGCCCCGGCGCCGCCATGCGCCGCGGCAGCAGCTCGCCGGGCGGCGGCGGCCCCGCGAACCAGGCGCCGTCGGGGGCCATGTGCGGCGTCGGCGGGTCGAAGCCGCGGCCGCCGCCGCCGCCCGGCTCCCGCTCGAAGGCGGGCGGGGGCAGGCCGCCGGGCGGGCCCACCTCACCGTGGTGGCCCAGCTGCTGCAGGCTGGGCGGCCGCAGGCGCTGCTGGCTGCGGGAGGCCATCTGCTTCATCACCAGGGCCGCGTTCTGGCGCTGCGCCAGCGCCGGGTGCTCGGGGCCACCGTGCGGCAGCGGGGCCCCAAAGGCCTCGGGCGCCGGCGGGGTGAACTCGCCCGGCAGGCCGGGGTAGGCCGTCGGGGAGAGGTGGCTCTCCATGGCGGGGCCGTGCATGCCGCCGGCCCAGGAGGCGCAGCGCTCGACGCCGGGGTTGCCGGGGAAGTCGAACCGCGGCCTCTTGGCGACGCTCACGTAGGGGGCATCGAAGTGCTGCAGTCTTTGATTTGGTGGCTGCTGCGGAGGAGGGTGCTGCATATTAAACACGGGGTCGGCGTAGGGATGCATATTCCTGTTCTCCAGTCTGTGAATAGGGTATTCAAACTGTGCATGCTGGTTCTGCATTATGGGCCCATTGTCCTGCAGGTTGGGGTTGGGAGCGTTGGCTTCTGTTTGCGGTTGCCTAGGGATGGCTGGCGGGCAGGAGTTCTGTCTGGCCAGCAAGCCCGGCGGCTGCTGCGGCGGCGGCGGCGGCGGCTGCTGCTGCTGCATCAGCGGGTGCCTGGCGCTGGCCCCCGGCTCCAGGCTGGCGGACATCTTCCGCGCTCCCCCGAAGCGCTCGAAGAAGACCCCGTGCTGCTGCGGCGGGTGCGCCTTGGCCACGGCCATGCCGGGCGCCCGGGGCAGGGCGGGCGCCCCGGCGAAGCTGCCGCCCCCCGGCACCTGCCGCCCGCCGCCGTAGTGCTGCGGCAGCTGCCCCTCGGGCTCCGACGGCGAGAAGACGGGCAGCTCGAAGTGGCCGGCGGGGCCGTCGCCGGGGTAATTGTATTCCAGCGAGTCCACGCCGCCCTGCGCCGGCAGCCGCCGCTGCTCCAGGCCGTGGGGCTCGGAGGAGCCGGCCGCCGGCAGCCCGTGGAAGGAGGCGGCGCGGTTGGGGGACTGGTCGAGGGGCAGGCAGGGCGCCGGCACGGCGTGGCTGGAGGCGCCAGCGCTGTGGTGCTGGAAGTCGGGCAGGGTCCCGGCGCGCTGCTGCCCGAAGCCCTCGCCGCCCTGGCTCTCGGCCATGTGCTCGTAGCCGTCGGCGAACGCCGTCTGGCCGCCCAGCGCGCCGCTGTAGCCCAGCAGCCGGCCGCCGTGCACGCAGGAGGCGCCGGGGTCGGGCCCGAAGTTGCCGCCGAAGTGCGGGGGGTGCTGGTGGGGGTGGTGGGCGCCGCCGTGGCCGCCGTGCGGCTGCTGCCCGCCGAAGAAGCCGTGCACCGGCGGTTGCATGCCGCCGCCGTGCAGCTCGGCGGGGCCGCGGCCCGGGAAGCCGTAGGCGTCCCCGGCCAGGCTCATGTTCATGCCCAGGAGGGGCGGCTCGCCCAGCGCGCCCAGGGCCGGGTCCACCGCCGCCGCCGCCGCCGGGCCGCCGCCGGGGAAGGCCGGCGCCTTGAAGTGCGCGCTCATGCTCAGTCCGGGCTGGCCGAAGCCCCGCTCCGCCTGCCCGCCGCTCCGGCTGCTGCTCTGCGGCTCGAACTGCTCCAGCCCGAACATGCTGCGCGGCTCCTCAGAAGGGCATGGCCGCTCCGCGCCGCTCCGCGCCGCTCCGCCGTCCCGCTCCCCGCCGCCGCCGCCGCTCGGCCGCCCCGCTCACATCCTGCCGCGCCGCCGGCACCGGCCGCCCGCCCGCGCTCACCCCGGCGGCTCGCCGCTCGCTGCCGCCCGCCGCTGCGCTGCCCGAGAGCCGACGGGGCGGCGCGCCGCCGCTCATAGGCTCCGGCGCCCGGGAGCTGCGCGCCGCATCGCCGGCCCGCCGTGCGCTGCCCGCGGCTCGCAGGGCTCCGGGGCCGGGGCCGGGGCGGGCGGCGGGGCCGGCGCTGCGTGCGGGCGCTGGGAGGGCTGCGCCGCGCTCCCCGGCGCGTCCCTCGCTCTCACCCGGCGCTGGCGGAGCAGCAACAAGTTTTGCATTTCAGCGATGAATTTCAGCCATCGGGGCTGCGCCAATGAGCGCGGCGCGGCCCGGGGCGGGGCTCGCCGTTAAGGTGGCTCCGCCGCGCCGCCCGGCCCCGCGCCCCGCCCGCCCCGCTCCGCGCCCCGTGCCCGGCGGTGCCGCTGCTCCCGCGGCGCACGGAGCGCGGGGCGGTGGGGTCCCGGGACGGGGAGGGGGGGCACCGGGGCTGGAACCGACTCGGCGGGACCGGGGCACCCGCGCCGCCCGCCAGGCACGGCCGGCCCCGCGCTCCCCAACTGCCGGTCCCCGCGCCTCCCCCGGCACTCGCGGGCTGGGGCACCGAGCGGCCCCGCAGCCCCGGCCCCAGCGGCGCGCCCCGTCGGGTCCGCCCGGGCCGGCGGCCGCAGCCGCGCAGCCCCGCTTTGCTCAGCGGGAGCGGAGGGTGTCAGAGCCCGGTCGCGCCGGAGGGAAACGCATCCATCAGCTCCGGGGGTTAAAAACGGCCGGCAGGATAAGGCACTTCAGGTGCTCGCAGCTCGCACATGTCGATAGTTTAAAAAAATATAAATGAAAATTACTCCCACCAAAAAAAAAAAAAAAAAAAAAAAAGAGATCTATAAATAAGCGGCCGAGAAGTATTTGTATATGGCAGGAGTTTTAAAGGGATTTTTTTCTGCAGGATCAGGATGCCGCGCTGTGATTAAATATTGATTTTGTGTAATTAGTTTTCATGTGAACTATCCTCCTTGCTGATGGCTTGGAGATTTCAGAACTAGAGAAGAAATGGAATTGGACATGGAAATTATTACTTAGCGAAGTGACAAGGGCCGGGGGGGGGGGGGGGGGGGGGGGGGGGGGGGGAGAGCGCAGGGCCCGGGGTGCGGGGCTGGCACCAGGGCATAAAATGAAGTACGCGCGGCCCGTCAGCGGCACAAAGGAATAAAGGGAAAGTCTCGCTCGTTCGCTACGGGAACGGTGGCTACGGAGGGAGGGAGGGAGGGAGGGCGGGAGCCGCCGGCCCCTGCGCCCCAGTCCCCGCGGAGCGGCAGCGCTCCGGTCCGACGGCTGCGCCGCCCGGCCGCTGCCCCGCACCCCGCTCCGCTCCGCACCCCGCGGCTGCGGGCAGGGACGGCCGCGGGCTCCGGGGCTCCCCCCCCCCCCCCCCCCCCCCCCCCCCGCCCCGCCCCGCCCCGGCCGCGCCTCCCTCTGCGCCTGCGTGCGCGCCGTCGGAGCCGGCTCTTCCGAACGGGCACAGCGCCCCCTGGCGCCCGCCCCGCAGGCTCAGCGCGGCCCGGCCCGGCCCTGCCGCAGACCCCGCCGGGCGGACAGACGGCCGGTCCGTTTCCCCCCGACGGCGGGCAACCGGGCAGCACGCAGCCCGACCCCCCACACACACCCCCCCCGCGGAAGGACGGGGCCGGGTCCCGGGGGGCGGCGGAGCTCAGTGGAGGCGCCGGAACTACCCGCCCGGTGCCCGTCTCGGGGCACCGGCACCGCCCGCCCGCGGTGACCCTCCCCGGCCCCTCCTGCCGGGTTCCGGGGGCCGCGGGCGGGCAGCCCACCGCCCCCGGGAACCGCCAGCTCTTCGCCGGGGGCAGCTCTGTGGGGGGAGCCCGGGCCACGGGGTCAGCCCCCCCCAGGGCCCCCTCCCGCCCCTTGTGCTGCTGTAGAACGGCTCCGGCCCGGAGGCGAGCGCCTTTCCCGGGGGGCTTGGCGCACCTGGGCAGGACGGTGATTAACAATTAACGCCACCAACCCGACCCCGCCGTCGGGGCTCGGCTCTGCTCACTCCACAGCGCTCCAGGCTGGCTGGAGAGGGAAAGCCGGAGGGCTCGCCCGCCTGCAGCCCGTCCCAGCACCCCCAGAACCGCTCCTTCCACGCACAGCCAACCCCCAGACCGCATCCCAGCAAAGAACCCTGAAGCACACGACGCCCCTTGCTCCAGGCCGTGTGCCCGGCAGCTGCCGCGACGCCTCGGGCTCCCTCTTGAAACACAGAAATTCAACAGTTTAGAGTCCGATATAACTGTTAAGCACTCTGCTGAAGCTGGGGTCGGGCGAGGGGCTGCTCGCAGCACAGAAAGCGTGGGGTACGGGCGCTGGGCACACAGCTCACGGCAGGTTGACACTGTGAACGCAGGACAAGGAGGACACGTTCGCTGAGGAGACTTGTCTGTTAGTGTTCCCCTGGAAGCGGTTCCTCTGTCCTCTGTCACATAATGGAATTTTTGGAGGTTTGTACCTCACAGGAGTGGCACTGATATGCTTTGGCTTTCACTCCCTAGGAGAAGTTTTCCGGGCAGTAAGGGCAGCAGGGCTGCCAAGGGCCGGGTTGTGGCTGCCAGGGGAAGCCCATGGGGACACGAAGGTACGGCCGGGAGAAGTGGGACCCCAGCTCGTCCCTGTGCACGGGCCTGGCACGCACTCAGCTCTTCACTTGTTACTTCATTGAAATGGTAATAATTCGTTGTGTAAAGTAGCATTCACTTCTTATCCAGTACTTTTCTGGCCAAAATGGCAACAGATTTAAAAAATGCATAATTTTTTGAAAAGGAAAAAAGCTGGATTAATTTTAAGAGTGCCAATCAAAACAGTAAGTGCAATAGAACAAGTAAGAGCATTGCAAACCAAAACAATATCGGCATTTTAATGCCTGTCCTGCGAATAGAGAATCAGACAACAAGGTTCGAGGCGCTCTGGCTGGTCATGCCTTTCACAGGCACCTCCTGTAACTTTGGCTTCCATGGAAGGGGCCAAATGCTTCAGAAAAGACAGATTTTTACTGATTCAGATTGACCTTGTCTTTCCCAGATGATTCAGAATCCGTTTGTTCCTCAAACAGAACAAGCACGGTCTCCCTGGAACAACAGAATGGTGCCGTGAAGGAGAATAAAACTAGAGGGATGGAGCCTTCCTTGGTCCACGGGCTGACCATCTCAAATGCTTTTGGGCGAGTGTTAATCCTCCTCCCTGGCCCATGCCCACGAGCAGGAGCCGCGGGGTCCCTGCCCGGGCCAGCCGCTCGCTCCCTCCCCGCCGGCTGCACCAGAAGCTCTTCTGTTCCTCCACTGCCAGCCCGGGCACCGCTGCCTCCCGGGAGCAAATTTCAAGGCTGAAAGTTTCAGGAGGGTAACACGCCGGCAGCGCTGCCCTCATCCAGCGGCAGCTCAGGAGTAGCATATAACTGGCCGATGGCCAATATGGAAATAATATCAGCCCACATACATTGGCAGTAAAACCAGTGAGTTGGCTGAAATGGCAAGGTCCTGCACTAGCTGTCACGTTGCACAGGCTCGTGGTGTAAACGTTCACCATTTGTTAACTGTCGGATGGCGGCTCAACCCCAGTTTCTAACTTGGAGAGTGTTCTGGGGCTGCCAACCTGCCGTGCACTTCCCAGTGCCGTGCTGGGGAGTGCTGCCCGGAGGGTCCCTGGCCCGCGACCAGCACTGTCGGCAGCACTTCGGTCGCAAAGGGTGACGGTCGCCCAGCCAAGCAGAAGGAAGCCTCTCTCAAACTGTACTGACTAGTGAAAAGTATATTTTATAAAACATATTTTTACTTTCAGTCTTTGGGTTTTGGTCATCTTGGGGGAAGTAGGGAAAGGCATTATTTAAATAGTTGTAGCTGCAGGGGATTATTTTCTAAATTAACAATAGTAATTGCTCCTGCCAAATCCAAAATTGAGGGGATTCATTTATTTCGACTCTCAAGACAATAGCACAATTTTGGGTTTCATATTGCAAGCTCTGAAAACCAAATGGTGGGGCCGATGTTTTTTAAAAAATAATTCAAACAACATCAATTCATCAGACTTGAATTCAGCTCTTTCCACTGTGCCAGTTTAACTTGCACTGAGAAAAGTTGCTGCTCAGCAAAAAAAAAAAAAATTCCTTTTTAACAAAATGAATGCATCATACATAAAACATCACGAACCATACAATTAGTAAGCAAATGTAAGAGTTCAGCTCAGTTCATAATTATTCAGCAAACCTATTCAGAATGATTTTTTTCTCCCTGCAGCAATCAACTGTGTGGGCTCATTACCACTGAGAATCTAACGAAGAAACCACCACATAAACTGTACAAAACAAGCCCGTATGCTAGAAAAAACTTCAGCCCAGCTAGTCAATAGCAAGAAGCCTTTTAAACCCTTCCATCGAGCAAAACCACATCTTTCTTTTCTGTGGTTTTTATACCCCCAGCTCTATAAAGATGCCATTTCATTAATATGTCAGGCTTCAGGTATATAAATTTTAGCCACTAAATAACCTCTACAGTGTTCGGTAGCGCAGCCATCTGGAACAATACAAAAAAGCATTTGGTTGCCGCTACACGTCACGTACCAGCCAAAGTGACGAGTCCTGTCTTTAGAGCATGGGCACCCAACAGTTACTTTGCAAAAAAGCTGATAGGTTTCTCTTGGCAGTGATTTCTGCTCCTAGCAGGGATATTCAGTGAAAGGAACTTGAATATTTTGAAGGACAGGTCTCTAAGTCTGGTGGCTGACATTATTGGGAAGATTTTCAACATTTCTGCCCGGAACAGTTAAGGAAACTATTGCATCCCCCTCCCTCTCAAAATTAGAGCGAACACAGTGACTGGATGGACTCAGACAAACGTGTAAAATCATCAGATGAGCTCGACATTGCAGCGAATGCGGAGCAGGATCATGAGGAAGGGATTCCTCTGGAGGAGATGTGTTTGTTTGTTTGTGTGGCCCTGCTCCAGCTCCTGGGAAGGGTGAGGAGGTTTGGGTGCAGAAGTGCTCTGTGCTGGCAGGGGTGCAGGTCCCCAGGCCCGGCACGGGCTGTGCCCACAGCGGCCGCCCCGGCCGTGGGCGAAGGGCTGTGTCGCAGGGGGGTCGGGCTCCGGGGGGGCTGAGCCGGGTCCCAGGGGTCTGGCAACGGGGGCTGTCACACCACTGGCCTCCCGAGCCGGGCGGCACGGGGCGTCATGCTGAAAAGGTGTCGGGGGGGCCGACCTCCTCCATCGCTTCTTGTCCTTCCCTACTTGGATGTCTGGAGGTGACTATTTTGTAATTGAGATTAAAGACAATTTCATCTGAAAAACCTGATTTGCATTCAGAATTTCTGAAAAGTTTGCCTTGCCAATGTAAATATTTCATGCTTAGTTTTGCCAACCATGTTGTTTTCTGGAAAGTTTGAACGAAATTCCTTTAGACACTTGATGGTTTCCCATTTGAAAAAATGCATAACTGAATAATAAGAATTAAGGGACTAAAACTGTTCCAGTCGTTTCCCACAGAGATCCGCAGCGATTTCGGAACTCAGCCCTTCACAAGGATTTTCCTGTTTGTTTCTTCTGCAAGGTTGGCTGGCTGGTTTAGTTTCTTTACACCTCTTCAACCTTAAGCTGTATGTTTTTCCTGTTTGGTTCTCCAGGTACCTCAGTATGGATCATGATATTTTTACAGTGTTGGTATGCTTGTCCATTGCTGCAATCAAACAGCTTTTTTGCATCGGTTAAGTATATTGGGTCCCATTTATGTCAGTTAGGTGAAAACCTTTACAGCGTATGGGGCACTTAGGTTCACATGTTGAACACATATAATTTTTTCTAATTTAGATCACTAAAAAAACAGGATAGTGCTAACATAATACAACATTGAGATTGTATGGTTAGTGTAAACGCTAGGAAATGCTAAAGCAAATTTTCCTGCCTATGATACTTGTACTACAGTAGACCTCTTGGGCTTTTTTTTCCCTTCAAATTCCCATCTCTGAAACACAAACCATAGGGTTACACATTTGACTGGGGGTGGGGAGAAGAAAAAAAAGAAATTAGATCATATATACAGCACAAAAGAATTAGTTTGAATGCAGGAACAGTAAAAGTTTTATATTTCCTAAAATAACTCAGTGAGACATAAATAAAAAATAGTACCCCTCTATATGGATAATCAGTATTTAACTCTCCTTGGTAGTTTATGATGGAGTTTGTATGATTGACTTTGTTCTGTTGTTTTCTTAAACTTGAACCAGGTGGGAATTTGTGGAAGCTTGGTGGAGCAGGAACGATCTTCGAGCATCTGGAAAGTCTAGCTCACTGTGGGCGATGCCAGCAAACCACTAAAGTTAATTCATTTTTCATCATCTTATAAATTGAACTATTGTGAACCAGAGGCTATTTTGTAAAGTCCTGATGACTTAATTTTCCCTAAGCATTAGCTTCATGAGTGTTCACCTTAGTGCTTCCTTTTTACGTCCTGAAATCCTGTGGCATTTTACGCGCTGCGTTTGCAAGTCCTTCCCTTCTGCCGCTTGCAAGGCAGCGACATCCTGCCCAGGCAGAGCGGGACCGTGCCGGGGGGGGGGGGGGCAGCGGGGGCTGGTGGATGCGGTTTTGGACGTCGCTGCTTCATAGGAACAAACCCAGTGTGGACCAGATTGGCCTCTCCTCTGGAGAAGCTCCCACACGTGAGCATCCCCCACTTTTCGGTGTCATTTGGGGCCCACTGAACGCTGCCCGTGCCTTCCCACCGCCCGCCCTTGGGGTCTTTGGTAACGCTCTTGTCCCCGGTGCTCCCTCTGTGAGGGTCCCAACCTCCCGGTCTCGGCTGCACATCCCTTGGGGGAGAGGAACGCTTGAGAACGTGGTGCCCAGAATTCAAACCCACCAGGCAAATAAAGATACTCCTGTATTTTTCATGCTACTTCACGAGATTTCACAGAACAACTCACGTCTCTGAGCCGTCGGTGAACCTTGGCTCCTAGTCCTGATTTGTCCAGTTTAAAAAACTGAAGCGTCTCTGCCCCCAGGGACTGGTGAAGAGCTGCCCCGCGGGCAGGGAGCGCTGGGCCAGCCCCGGGGGCACTGGGCAGGGCTGGGAGGTGCCTGTGCATCCCCCCGGCCGGGGATCCCAGCTCCACCTGGGCCTTCGCACGGGGCTGGATTTCATCTGCTCCGTGCGAAGCATCATTTGCTTTTTCGACAGGAATGACCCGGGCGCGCCAGCAGCGGGCACACGCAGCAGCCCTGGCTGCACCAGCTGCCGCCTCCCCTGCAAACGCTCACAGCAGCAACACCCCCCCCCTCCCGGCTCCCCTCCACGGGCACAAAGGGTTAAAAATCTCCTGCCTTCCATAAGCATCGCTGCTCCGAGATCGCATGGCCCCTCAGCATCTCCGTACAAAAGGCCTGATTTAATCCCGGTTGCAGACGACTCACATTGTACTCGCAGACTTCTAGCGATGTCAGGCTATCGGGTTTCCAACTAATATCCAAGGCACAGCCCAAGCATAGAGCAGGAACAAAGACTTCTTTGTTACTGGAAGGAAAAAAAAAAAAAAATCCCCTGAAGATATTAGCAGTGCTGTAGAGTTCAAACTGTTAAATGATTCAAATATTATTTAATGAATACATTTGAAATGAGGGTCTCACAACCCAGAACACTTTTTTGATCATCGTTTACAAAAAGCCCGCCTCTTCGTTTACTTCTTTATGAAGTCGTTGCTTTCAGGTTTTAATTATAGCCATTTGCTTCCAGGCTTTTTCAGGGACTTCGCTTGTTGGCATAGCTCAGTTCCTTTTATGATACGGTTTAGCTGGTGACTACTGGATCTTTCAGAAGTCCTTATAATCATGTTCCCTTAATTTACCTTGGACTGCAGTTCTTTGGCCATAAGAAACAAGAGAGAGAGAGAGCCTGTTGCAAAAGAAGCAACAGCATTAGGTACTGTTCTACAGGGTGCTGAACCCAAGCTTTTAAAATTAGGAAATTTGTTAAATTAGCATATCAAGATTTTAACTGGGATTGGAGAAACATTGCAAAGTTAAAATTCAGCAAATACCTTGAATTTCTTAAGTCTTGGATATGTAAATCTAAAACAGAGAGTCATATAATTTTAGAGAGAAAAATTAAAGAAAAAATGTAGATGGGGTTCTAGAAAGAAACATGTCTCTAACCTGAGGAAATAAAGTTTTAAAATTAAATCTGAGTCTAATGTGCTTATAGCAATGAGAGCACGGGTGCTCTGAAGCAGGGAAGGCAGATCTCTGACCTAAAGGGTAGCACTAGCTCATCTAGGACTGTGCAGGTGCACGCTGAGGTTTGTGTTTTGGGAAAATAGAGCATATCTAGGAAAAATGGGGGAAAAGAGCAACAAGGCAGAATAAGTACTACTATCAAAACAAGTACAAGAACAAGCACCAGAAAATAAGGCATAGGGCAATATCAGAATGACTTCCAGATTCTGTCAGCAGAGTGCATTGCAAAGCAAAATGTAAAATACATACCCTTACACCAGCAAATCATTCCTGTCTCTATGGCCTGGGGGGTGTATACATTAAAATAACCACTTCAGGTGCAGCCCTGCAGAGGAGAGGGCAGGAACACCAGGACCGCTGTTCAAACAGAGGCAGCGTCAGTGATGCAGGATCCTGCCTCTACTTGAACTATCAGAATTTCACTCAAGTCAAATTAAGGGTCCAGCTTGTCCTCATGTAGGCAGTGCCTCGGGTGGAAGTCACCGAAAGCATGCCTCCAAAAGCTGGGTTTGACATATTGTTCTTTTAAATTATTGCAGGTGCCAGAACTTTGCTCTCGGTACGGTTTGCACATCGAATTCTGCCCACAGCAGGTACCAAGGAGGAGAGGGGGCTGTGAAGAGTAGCAGTGGATGAAACATCCCCAGCGGCTAAATGACCGGCATGGCAGTCACTGTCCTCTGGAAAATCCCCATTTCATTTCCCCCTCTCCTCAGAGCTCAGAGCCACCCTCTTTTCCTCATGTAAAGGGACGCTTTCCTTACTTTGGCAAGTTCCTTTAAAGCTGTTCATTTCCAGCCCAAGTGTGAATAAGGCTGAGTCAAACCTTGCAGGGCAGCACTATGGTCTTGACAGTTAGTTGCTGTTGATTAAAATTCATTTTCCATAAAAATTCAAGCAAACAGAAAGTCTTTCATAAAAAGAGTTACAAAACTACAAAGAAAATATTTTTCTGATGTCTCTGTTGAGACATAATTAAATAAGAGAAGATTCTATTGAATTGCATGCACTGAATAATAATAATAAAGAAATCACAGTTACAGCCCCAAGTTTCAGACTTTGCCATAAAACCACAGCACTCTCAGGCACACACGCTCGCTCTTCCCCCACACCATGGCCCATGTGAGAAATGGCATTCCCAAAAGGAAACTCATAGAAAGATTAATTAATGACAGAGGCATAAATAGTGAATTTGCATGGAATGGGAGTGCCCTCAGTTTTACGGCAGCGATCCGTGAGCCCTGTCCAGGGCGGGGGGTGGAAGATGAGCAGAGAGGCAGAGGATCAGCTCTGAGAGCCTCCCCTCGCCCAGCAGCACTAACCCTGAGCTGTCTTTGCAGAAAGCCATTCGCTTTCTCTGGCACCATGCTGGTTGGGACCAAGTCCTTTGTGCAGGATCTCAGAACAGCTCTAATTTTTGAAGACTCTTTAAAAAAAAAAAAAAAAAAGTAATTAAATTTCTTTGTCAGATTAATACAAAAACCCTAATAGCAGCCATTGAAATTTTTGAAGTGGTCAACAAAAGGGTAGCAATCACTACCACTATGTTTTATTGTTTATTGAAAAGTTTTGTTCAAATAAAAATGTTGAAATGGAAAAAGTCTTTCAAGTAAATTCTAGTATAGTTCCTTAGAAAAAAGGGCCCTTGGGAAAAACGTTATTGCTACAAAATGCGGGCATGTAGAAAATGACAGATTCCTACGTCAGAAGAAACAAAGCTCCCGGGAAGGCTCCCGGCCGCGGAGGGGGGGTCCCCGGCCCCGGTGGGACCCGGCGCCGGGCTGGGCCCCTCGGCCGCTGCACGAAGCACTTGCTGTGCCTGTCAATGTTCCGTGAGCTGCCAAAACATCCTCTTTCGACAGAGAGCAGAGCGACTGGGTTGGGATGGGGCTGGTGGTCTGTGCCGGGCACCAGCAGTTCAGAACCACCGGAACATCCCGAGGCGCCCGACGGAGCTGGGGACGGGATGATCCCCGGAGCGCCTGGCTCTCCGCAGGCGAGGACGAGCCCCGGGCGTCGGGGCCGCCGTAGGAATGCTGTCAGAAGGAATGGGATGGCTTGAGCTTTGGCAATGCATCATCACTGGCTAAAGCTAATGTCAGCTTGGGGAGACACCATTGTCTACAAATTAATGGCAAGTGGAAATAAATGCCCGCTTTAGCTAATTGACCAACACAAATACTGCATAATAGAGCAAAAGGCGCTATAGATAAGGCTTTGTTTGAATTTGAAGACTGTAACAAGCGCTCGGTTATTTTTCATCATCTAGCAGAAGTTGCAGAATTACAGCCCGTATTTCATTTTGTCAGCCCTGACTATTTGGAAATGCTGGAGTCTGTCCTCATGAGACTCTTTTTCCTAAAACCTACATATTGAAAGGGGTTTAAAACGTTTTCTAGCAATTAGAAATGTATCATGTGCAGTGAGCTAGTATTTCCTGGTTACAATTTAAATGCCTTTGAGATAAGAAGATGCTCTAATTGACTGAATACTATTTATATCTCTTTCTATTGTGCTAAAAGTTTATGATGCAGTCTCAAAATTGGATCAGCCCGACTTCCACATGCTCTGATTTCTGATACAAACACGTGCAGAGAGGAAAAGTTACAACAAAAAAACTAATGACAGATGCTGTATTCATAAATGTAACAGTTAAAAACACACGAAGGCAAGTCAGGAAAATGGTAACTTCACGGAGTGGTGTGTGTGTGTGTGTGCGTGTGTATGTATATATACATACACTCACACACACCCACACCCCGTATTTTTGTAATTCTGTATCAGCAAATACATTTCACCCAATTGTACCAGTTTCTTCTAAAAAAAAAAAAAAAAAAAAAAATCAGGTTTACTCTTTCAGCAACGAACGTTAATGTTAATTGATATTTGGAAAAAATAGATAATGCTTGTTTATTTGTATGCAATATACTCAATCCTGAGACATTCAAAAGTATCTGTCATGTATGACCATTTCAGCAGTCATATTAGGAAATTGTCTAATGCTTACCTTCACATTTTACTTCTTTCAGTTGCTGGAAACTCATGGAATATATCATGTTTGTTCCTGTCTTGAAAGGAGAAACAGAAACAATATTTTCTTCATAAACAGAATATTGTAAATATTGATTCTGCTACCCACAGCTTCAAACTAAAGACTATTTACTGGTATAAAGTTTCAGCAATCAAATTTTAAAATAGAAAGGATATACTGAAATGCAGTGTCAAAATGAATACAAGCTAGGAAAGCTCCTGGGAGTGCTCCCCGGCTGCGTGCTGCTGTACCCCGGGTGCTTCAGCTGGAACTCTGGCTTTTCTTTTACTTCCTCCAGTAAATCTGTATTTGTCTCAAAGAACAAGCCATTACCAAACATTTCACCCCAATTAATGTTGGCTATGGATCCTTTTCCAGGAAGCTGGCAAAGTATCAGACATGTGAGGGAAAGGTTTTGCTGATGGGTTTATGGTGATCAGAGACCGTGTTCTGATTTTCTCCTAAGCCCCTATTCCAGCTGCGACCCGATAGCACCTTATCGTAGGGGCTGGGAAGGGAGATAATTACTGCAGGAGCCACGGGACCAAGATGGAAGTTTAAATTGTGTGTATGAGTGATATGAAATAAAAATTTTGTCCCTTTTAACATGTTGCCCTACTAAAGGTTGATCTTGTGTGTGCTGACTGTAACAGAGCATTTCAGAGGTGCTGATGCTGGCAGGAAACAGCACGAACAAAATAGCCCTGTCACCACTGACACCTGAGCTGTTTCTTCTTCACCATAGCAAGTTTTAGCAGACAGCAAAGGAAACAACAAACTAGGTGGCTCTGCAGCTGTAGCAGTGCCGTTAGTGGTGTGGTTACAAAATTAAGAAGCAAAGGGGCCTCGGTGGTCTTCTGCGCCACGAAAGGGGGAGTTGCATCTGCGAAATAGAGAACACGGAACTTTTTGAAAATAAAATACCTTTGAAAAAAAATCGCATGAACATTGCAAACTAAGTTAAACAAATACGTTACTTTTTAGCCTGTTTTCTTAAGGAGCTTTGCCCTAATCAAAATGCAGGCGGGTAGTGACACCCAACAGTGGTGAAGGACAGACAAGCGAAGCACGGACAAGCCTGGGAAGCAACAGGCTTCACTCTCGGGGCAGCTAAACCCTCCTCATTTCAGTGAAAGGCATCGATAGTCACACACCACAGATTTGACAGGGGACAGCAAATAAAAGCCATTAGGACCTTGTCCACCAACACTCAATTGAACAAAACACAGGTTTAACATCACCAGGCTTTTCCATGTATCAGCCAAGTCCAAACCCTCCCTCGCCTTTGCGGAGGTGAACACCAGCCACGTGCAGAAGGGTGCTGTTCACCAGTGTAACCGACACGGGCATTTAGTTTTTAATGTTCAATCACTTCCGACCAAACAATTATGATTTAGCGATACCTCGAAATGTCAACTGCTCTAACCACAAACCAGCCACCAGTTCTTCCTCTCAGCCAAAAATAGGATGGGAGCAGCTGAGAGCAGGAGGTGCAGAAGGGGAAGCCCCACAGGGCTGGCACCGGCACCCACGCACGCCTGCATCTGCCCCAGGCAGGGCAGCGCCGCAGCAGCCCCCCCGTCCCCCCCCCCCCCCAGGATGGCCCTGGGGACAAGGGCTCCAGCCACGTGCAGTATTTCCAACTTGCTGCAACCGTGTGGGGTCTGTGCTATACCCACCCCCAGCTCCCCTCACACTCCAGGGGCTCTGCAGAGCTCTCTGCGCCTGGGGTGGCCAGGACATGCAAAATGATATTTTTTAGGGTCGGGTCAGAAGAGGGGCAAAAAAAAGGAGCGGCACCCCCAGAGTGCGCTGAGGCTCGGGGAAGCAGAGGTGTCCGTAGGATGTCCGTAAGGTCGTCCCTGTGCAGCAGAGGCAACCCTGCAGCGGGAAAGGGCCGCACGGCGCCCCGACAGCGCGCAGCCGCTCGGCAGGACGGGGCGGGAGGGAGATGCTGAGATGAGTTAATGTTAAAAAGTGGCAGCAAACAAAAGGACCCGAGACCGGAGGAGTGTGGCATCACCCAAGGAGCCGTTCCTGCTGTTCATGGTGGGACTGAGCCTGGCTGGCAGCCACGGGCACCACACACCCCCCCCCCCCGGTACCGACACCTCTCCCCAAGCACACCTAAGCAACCACCAGCCTTTCTTCTAAAATCACAACCGTCAAGTGAGGGTGACAGCATCAGAATTTAACACGTGGTGGGCAGTGTCACTTAAGACTGGCTTGGCTTGCTCCTGCGTCCTTTGGGCACGGGTGACAGCAACACGACTCGTGTGCCTCCAGCCCGCGGTGCCGGTTCCCGTGGCAGGAGCTCTCCACACGCTTCCTGACACAAACAAGGCTTTATTCCCACAGATGCTCTGTAGCAGCTCGTTCTGCAGGAACCCACCCTCCTGCCCACACGCCCAGCCCAGCGCCTCTGGGGCTGCAGCCCCCCAAGGGCACAAACCGCCGGGGACCTCCCCGCTCTGCTCTGCGGTTCCAGCTCAGCCCCCTGTGCCAACTCCTCGTCAGGGCGCACCCACAGATCCCAGGCTTTAGTCAGCATCCCGCACCCTGCCTCAATTAACCCTGAGCAAAATCTGTTCCTCCTTTGACGCCTTCTCACCCCAGGAGAGCACCAGGAGCTGCTGTGCTGTGTCACAGCCAGTGCCTGCAGAGCTAAGCACTGTGGCAAATATGTTGCAAGCTTCTTGTAAATTACAATGCTATTTTATTCTTCTTGACAAGCCTAACAGTATCTTTTCAATATTTAAAGTGGAACACTTACTTAGTCCAGCTCTTTGAGAAGAGGTCACAATGTTAAAATCCATCTGTCAGGCACAGTTAAAAACAAAGTAGGAATAAGGCCTGAAGGTAACGCTGCTCAGCAGCTCTGGGGTTCAAAGAATGCAAAGCAAAGAAAGAGAAGCTCTTGTACATCACCACCAGGCCCGACACCAGTTTATCTGCCCATTTGACACCAGTGACCGTCCCGAGGTGCGTCGGTGCCAGCCTGCTGCCAGCCACACGTTCGGGTGCTGCAAACATGAAGGTTTGGAGTGACAGGAGCAATATTAATCCTCTGCTTTTGCTGGTGGATGTTGGCAGATAATAGCAGCGTGCTGAGGTGGTGAAACTATAAATTCACCAACACCCCAGAAAACAGAAGCTGCACGTGGCAAGGTAACGCTTTAGACCGGTGTCATCGACAGGAGCGGCCCCGGGCCGGGAAGAGGGCTGCGCTGTGAGCAGGAACTTTCGCCTCCGCCTGCAAACGGACCGTCACCTTCTGGCGTCTGACCCTGTTGTTCACTGAATAGAGAGGCATTTGTAAATATCTCATCCCCGAGCCGCGGATCGGCTGGCGCGGAGCAGCCGGCCCCGACCCCACAGCCGCGGCAGC